AAGAAAAATATTTAGAATCTTTATTGAGATTCAGAAAAATTTATAGATTAAAGAGATTTATACTAATTTATAATAATGGATCTTATCCAAAACAGGATATTTAATGAATTTATTCAATTCCTCTTTTAGGTCTCAGTGAGATTTTATAGGTTTTTTTCCTCCCATATATATCAGATACATTTCTCTTTTCTTTTCTTTTTTTTGTCTTTAGGTTTTTCTTCTACTCTGAGCATCATTCTTCCATTTTGTTTTTGGGCTGGTGTGGTTTATATATATGAATGCTATTAATTTTTGTATATTAATTTTATATCCAAATTTGATTGAATTCTATTGTTATTCAGCTATCTACATACATAATTATATCATCTAGATATCATGATTTTGCATGTACCTTCCCAATTGTTACCTCATTCTTTTTCTCATTTATATGACCAGGCATATAACATTATAGTAAATAAATGTGGTAGCACAGGCAGTCTGGTCATGCTCCTGACTTTAGTGGGAATTTGTCTAGTTTTTACCAGTAAACATGGTGCTGACTTTTAGCTTATGTCTATGCACATGTGTTGTGTATGTGTGTAAATAATTTCTTAAAATACCATGTTAAGAAAGTGTGCTTTTACCCCTATTTTATAAGCAGGTCCTTTTAAAATCTCAGATTCTCACTTTTTGGTGTGGGAGGGGATAGTTGGCCAGTTCAGGGATCTGAACCCTTGCGTTTGTTGTTATAACACAGATTCTGACTTTTAAAAAAATTCTTTTCAGCTCTATAGAGCTGCTTATATGTTTGTCTTGACTAAGATGAATTATATTAATAGATTCCCTTAAAATGAAACATCTGATTTTGATAGAAAAGATATTTTGTTCAATTCTTCTACAATTAGTCCATAATTCTTTGCAATTCCAATTAAAATCTCCAACGGGATTTCTTCCTAGAACTAGATAAACTCATTCTAAAATTTAAATGGAAGCATAGAGGTCCCAAAGTAGCTCAAAAATTTTTGAAAAACTAAGAACAACATGTGTGTAGAGGGAAGTGGGGAAATACTTGCCCAAGCAAACAGGGTTATTATAAAGTTATGGCACTTAAAACAATGTAAACATATACACACAAAGTACAGTATTGGTATAGATATAGATAAACAGATTAAAGAAAAAGAATAAAAGCCTAGAAACAATTAAGCAGGTATATGATAAAGGCAGCATCACAAAGGAAGATCTATTTAATAAATGGTGCTAGAACAACTAACTTGTCTTCTACATGCACAAATAACTTTACTGATAGAATTATCAGCAAATTCTCACCTCAAACCAGTTAGAAAATTATATCCCAGTTGAATGAAAGACTAAATATGGAAAACATATCTTTAAAAAGAGACTATCTTTATAATCTAATATTAGGAAAGATATAGCCCGAGGGTTCGGATCCCACATACAGACCGGCTGCTCACTGGCTGAGCGAGGTACGGGCGCAACACCGAGGGTTGCAATCCGTTGCCGGTCACGAAAAAAGACAAAAAAAGGAAAAAAAAAATAAAATAAATAAAAAATAAAAAAAACCCGCGCAACACCGAGGGTTGCAATCCGTTGCCGGTCACGAAAAAAGACAAAAAAAGGAAAAAATAAATAAAAATAAATAAAAAATAAAAAAAAATCAACATTGGCAACTCATAAAAGACTATTAAATATTGATTGCTGCACATTAATTTTGACTGAATTCTTATTATATATACATATTTACCATATGCTAAATGATAAATTTAATTATCCAAAATGTAAATGTCTGTGCAACAAAAGATAAACGATAACATGAAACTGACAGATTGGGAGAAGATAACTGTATAAATCCTACTACTGAAGTAGATATTCTTAAAATTCCCTAATTTCAAGTAGAGAAAGGACTAACAATATAAAACGGACAAACACTATAAACAGGTGACTGGCAAAATTGCATTTCTTCACTCATTAGTGGACTTCCATTCAAACAGTATCAGAGAGTATGGGCCCTAGAGTCAGACTGCATGAGTTTGAACCTGAGTTTATTAAACACTGATACATAAAGTTATGTAACCTCTGTGCTTCACTTTCCTTATCTGTAAAAATTAAAATAATGATATCTACTTCACGGACTCTGATAATGATTACATGAAATAAGCTATGTAAAGTTCATAGCACAATACACCTGACACATAGTAAGTACTCAGTAAAGCTATTATACATATTGTTGTAAAGGATTTTTCTAAGTGCTGTGTAATACTGTGTTATTTATTCACGTATAAATAACAGCTGTCATGGAATATATTCACAAGCAGATTCTAGGATGAGTTTAAGACTGCATGGTCTGGAAGGCAGGCAGTTCATTTCTACTAGATAGTCCAAACCAAAATATCTGGTTCTGGTATCTGGAAGGAACTATGTAAATTTTTTGACAGCTAAGATTATTCCATTTGTAGATCACGACTCCTTTGACATGATTTCCAGCTTTTTACTCTGTAAAGAAAACATGCATGTGTAAACCAATAATTCAGAATCCTTTCATAAAAGATGGTCATTATCTACCAATTCAAAATACACCTAAAAAATGTATCTGCAAATCTGAATTGTCAGTTTCTTTGTGACATCATTTTAAAATATTTGTTGGCTGTGTGCATTTTTTCTAATTGCTTCTTCATGTTCTTCACCCAATTTTCTATTCTCTTAATTAATGGTTTTTAGGAATTGTTAGTATTTTTCTGCTATGTATATGAAGGTACATCAAAAAGTTCATTAAAAGATTCATATTATTGGGGCCGGCCCGGTGGCGCACTGCTACAGTGCACCGCTTGGGAAGCATGGCAGCGCTCCCGCCGAGGGTTCGGATCCCACATGCAGACCGGTTCCCGCTCACTGGCTGAGCGAGG